TAGTCCCTCGTCTCCGCCGCCCTCTTCTTCAGCAGCTTCCTCTCTTCCTTCCTCACGCTCTCCTCCGCCTGCCCGTAGGAGCGGCTGGTGTAGTGCTGCCCGCCCAAGGTCGCCAGCATCCGTTCAATCTTCTGGAGGAGCTCCTTGTCTCGAGAACGGTCCCTCCAGTTCTTGTTGAAGACGTGGTAGCGCCCACCACACTGCTCGATGAGCGCCCGGATGTGCCAGTCAGTGCTGACCCGGTTCTCCAGTGCCAGAATGTCTACGTCCCCCTCGTAGGCCAGGAGGACCATGGTGTGGGAAAGGGCATCTTCACCGAAACGCTTCACCATCAGCTTGGGCGTCTTGACGTCGTTGGGGCAGATCTGCTCCAGGTCAAAGGCCATGAGCAGGGCGTGAGGGCCGGGGGCTGACAGACATTTGCACCTAAATCAAATCAAATTTTATTTACAGTGTTATATCACATGAAAATGCTGCAAAACACCTTACAGAAAAAGTGTAGCCTAAACGTTTACAATTGCACCTGCGGGGAGACAATACAGTGACTACAATCAAGAAAGAAAAAGCTGCTTGTCTTGTATTGTCTTGTGTTGTATTGTCTAGTGTTGTGTTGTCTTGTGTTGTGTTGTCTTGTGTTGTGTTGTATTGTGTTGTATTGTGTTGTATTTTGTTGGATTGTATTGTATTGTGTTGTATTGTGTTGTATTGTCTTGTGTTGTGTTGTCTTGTGTTGTCTTGTGTTGTGTTGTATTGTGTTGTATTGTCTTGTGTTGTGTTGTATTGTGTTGTATTGTCTTGTGTTGTGTTGTATTGTGTTGTATTGTGTTGTGTTGTCTTGTGTTGTGTTGTCTTGTGTTGTGTTGTGTTGTATTGTGTTGTATTGTGTTGTATTGTGTTGTATTTTGTTGTATTGTATAGTGTTGTATTGTGTTGTATTGTGTTGTGTTTTTGTCTAATATGTCACTATTTATGATGGACTTCTGGACCTCTTTAGCTCAGTTGGTAAAGCAAGGCTCTTGAATTGTGTGTTTGATTCCCAGGACCACCCATACGTAAAATGACTGCATGACTGTAAGTGTCTTTGGATAAAACCGTCTGCTAAATGGCATGTATTATTATTATATTACATTTAGCATTTATTCAGTTTCTGTGAACTGTGAGCAAAAATCAATAATGTTAAAGTCAAAGTCACCTCTTCTTATGCATAAGTTAACACATGACACAGAAGAGCATCAAATTACAGCACAATGTTATCTTTGCCACCTCTTCATCTCTGTCTTCATCTTAGTGCGGGACAGGTGCTTCCCGTAGAGGTTGGGTCCGTTAACCACAGCGACACGCGTCCCGGCCAGGTCCCCCAGGTTCTTCCTGCTCTGGACGATGCTGGTGACGTCCTTGGAGAACTCCTCCCGCCCCAGGATAGAGTTGGTCAGGGAGAACTGAGACGGGCCACTGGACCCCACCACCAGGATCCGCAACTCCATATCAGTGGACTGAGCTGCCGGGACAACAAATCACTTTTGATGGTTAACAGCTATAGAAAGGTTTACTAAGGTCAGTTAAAGATCAGTCGAACCACATATCAGTGTCAGGAGAAGATCATGTGTTCACCTTTCATCAGGCTAATCATTTGATCATCAACAGCTATGGAAAGGTAAATCAGATCAAATATCAGTGCCCATTACCGGGACAACAAAGACCAACAAAATACTCTTTCACCTTTCATCAAATATTTTCACAATCACAGCTATGTTGAGGTCTCTTTGTTGAGAAACAAAAAAGTCAAAAAATATGATTTCACTTTTCATTGGATAAAGACCATTAGATCATTAACAACAGGGTTGCTGTCAATTCTAATTGAAGGCAGTCAATTCAGGAAGTAAACTGACATCACAATCCAATAATAAAGGGCATTTATTTTCAATGACTCATCAATAAACTGACAAGTAGAAGCTATTTATTTAAAAAGTTAAAATGTATTTATTTTAAATTCAAATCACCTCCTGAATTGACTGCCTTCCATTTGAATTGACCCTGTTTAAAAGCTAAAAATACTATTCTAATTGACACCGACCCTGTTTAACAGTTAAAAAGACCATTCTACTCATCTCATATGTACAGTGGGGAAAAAAAGTATTTAGTCAGCCACCAATTGTGCAAGTTCTCCCACTTAAAAAGATGAGAGAGGCCTGTAATTTTCCTCATAGGTACACTGTCACGCCCTGACTCAGGGGACGGTTATTTGTTGAGTCAGGGTGTGTATATTTCGTGTTGTGTTTATTTCTATGTTTAGTTTTTAGATCGTTTAGATCTATGTTGGCCAGGGTGGTTCCCAATCAGAGGCAGCTGTAGCTCGTTGTCTCTGATTGGGGACCATACTTAGGCAGCCTTTTGGCACCAGTCTGTGTGGGATCTTGTTCCGTAAAGGTTTGTTTTGTGTAACCTAGGACTTCACGTATCGTTTGTTTGTTGTTTTGTGTCTTGTTAAGTACTTAATAAAATGTACGCTTATCACGCTGCGCCTTGGTCCTTCTCGTTAATGAACGATCGTGACAGAAGATCCCACCAATCCTGGATCAAGCAGTGTGATGAGGAGAGAGGATGGACTTGGGAGGAGATGAGCGAGAGTCTGGCAAGAGGGATGGAGGCCATGATCACGGGGGAGAGACAAGCCCAAAACATTTTTAGGGGGGGGCTCAAGCCATGGACGACGAGGCAGCAGGAGGCCGCGATAGAGCGGTTCAGCCGTTTAGCAGAGGAGGCCGCCAGATTAAGGGGGTCATTGGTGCAGAGGGAGCAGAAGGAAAGTGTAGAGGCACGGCGAGAGGAGCTGGTTAGGCAGCAGAAGGAGCGGGGGTTAATGAAGGAACCCAGTCCCGCTCCTCGCACCAATGGAGTGGTGCGTGTCGCCAGTCCGGTCCGGCCCATTCCTGATTCCCGCACTAAGCCAGTGGTGGGTGTTCCCAGCCCAGTCCGGCCCGTTCCTGCTAACCGCACCAAGCCAGTGGTGCGCGTTGTCAGCCCAGTCCGGCCCGTTCCTGCTCCCCGCACTAAGCCAGGGGTGCGCGTCGTCAGCCCAGTCCGGCCCGTTCCTGCTCCCCGCACCAAGCCAGTGGTGCGTGTCGTCAGCCCAGTCCGGCCCGTTCCTGCTCCCCGCACTAAGCCAGGGGTGCGCGTCGTCAGCCCAGTCCGGCCCATTCCTGCTCCCCGCACCAAGGCAGTGGTGCGTGTGTCCAGTCCGGCACGGCCCGTGCCTGTTCCACCGGTGCCTGGTCCGGCACCGGTCAGCTGCTCCACTCCGGAGCCAGAGCAATCCGCTCCACCGGGGTCCAGTCCAGCCCCGGTCAGCGGCTCCACTCTGGAGCCAGAGCAGTCCGCTCCACTGGTGCCTGATCCAGTTCCGGTCGGCGGCTCCACCCTGGAGCCAGAGCAGTCCGCTCCACCGGTGCCTGATCCAGCTCCAGTCAGCGGTTCCAGACCAGGGGCGCAACGGGGAGGTGGAGAGTAAGTGGTGGTTACACCCGGAGCCGGATCCGCCTCCGAGGCGGAATGCCCACCCGGCCCCTACCCTATTAGGTTTATGTGGCGCGGTCGGAGTCTGCACCTTTGCGGGGGGGGGGGGGGGTACTGTCACGCCCTGACTCAGGGGACGGTTATTTGTTGAGTCAGGGTGTGTATATTTCGTGTTGTGTTTATTTATTATATATGTTTCTAGATCGTTTAGATCTATGTTGGCCAGGGTGGTTCCCAATCAGAGGCAGCTGTAGCTCGTTGTCTCTGATTGGGGACCATACTTAGGCAGCCTTTTGGCACCAGTCTGTGTGGGATCTTGTTCCGTAAAGGTTTGTTTTGTGTAACCTAGGACTTCACGTATCATTTGTTTGTTGTTTTGTGTCGTGTTAAGTACTTAATAAAATGTACGCTTATCACGCTGCGCCTTGGTCCGTATCTTCCGTTAACGATCGTGACATACACGTCAACTATGACAGACAAAATGAGAAATAAAAATCCCGAAAATCACATTGTAGGATTTTTTATGAATTATGGTGGAAAATAAGTATTTGGTCAATAACAAAAGTTTCTCAATACTTTGTTATATACCCTTTGTTGGCAATGACACAGGTCAAACGTTTTCTGTAAGTCTTCACAAGGTTTTCACACACTGTTGCTGGTATTTTGGCCCATTCCTCCATGCAGATCTCCTCTAGAGCAGTGATGTTTTGGGGCTGTCGCTGGGCAACACGGACTTTCAACTCCCTCCAAAGATTTTCTATGGGGTTGAGATCTGGAGACTGGCTAGGCCACTCCAGGACCTTGAAATGCTTCTTACGAAGCCACTCCTTCGTTGCCCGGGCGGTGTGTTTGGGATCATTGTCATGCTGAAAGACCCAGCCACGTTTCATCTTCAATGCCCTTGCTGATGGAAGGAGGTTTTCACTCAAAATCTCACGATACATGGCCCCATTCATTCTTTCCTTTACACGGATCAGTCGTCCTGGTCCCTTTGCAGAAAAACAGCCCCAAAGCATGATGTTTCCACCCCCATGCTTCACAGTAGGTATGGTGTTCTTTGGATGCAACTCAGCATTCTTTGTCCTCCAAACACGACAAGTTGAGTTTTTACCAACAAGTTATATTTTGGTTTCATCTGACCATATGCCATTCTCCCAATCCTCTTCTGGATCATCCAAATGCACTCTAGCAAACTTCAGACGGGCCTGGATATGTACTGGCTTAAGCAGGGGGACACGTCTGGCACTGCAGGATTTGAGTCCCTGGCGGCGTAGTGTGTTACTTTGGTCCCAGCTCTCTGCAGGTCATTCACTAGGGCCCCCCGTGTGGTTCTGGGATTTTTGCTCACTGTTCTTGTGATCATTTTGACCCCACGGGGTGAGATCTTGCGTGGAGCCCCAGATCGAGGGAGATTATCAGTGGTTTTGTATGTCTTCCATTTCCTAATAATTGCTCCCACAGTTGATTTCTTCAAACCAAGCTGCTTACCTATTGCAGATTCAGTCTTCCCAGCCTGGTGCAGGTCTACAATTTTGTTTCTGGTGTCCTTTGACAACTTTTTGGTCTTGGCCATAGTGGAATTTGGAGTGTGACTGTTTGAGGTTGTGGACAGGTGTCTTTTATACTGATAACAAGTTCAAACAGGTGCCATTAATACAGGTAACGAGTGGAGGACAGAGGAGCCTCTTAAAGAAAAGATTACAGGTCTGTGAGAGCCAGAAATCTTGCTTGTTTGTAGGTGACCAAATACTTATATTCCACCATAATTTGCAAATAAATTCATTAAAAATCCTACAATGTGATTTTCTGGATTTTCTTTTCTCAATTTGTCTGTCATAGTTGACGTGTACCTATGATGAAAATTACAGGCCTCTCTCATCTTTTTAAGTGGGAGAACTTGCACAATTGGTGGCTGACTAAATACTTTTTTCCCCCACTGTATATACTGCATTCTATTCTATAATATTCTACTGTATCTTAGTCCATGCCGCTCTGTCATTGCCTGTCCATATATGGACAATTTTTCTTAAATTCCATTACTTACTAGTTTTGTGTGTGTATTGGGTATATGTTGTGAAATTGTTAGATATTACTTGTTAGATATTACTGCACTGTCGGAGCTAGAAGCACAAGCATTTCGCTACACCCGCTATAACATCTGCTAAACACGTGTATGTGACAAATAAAATGTGATTTGATTTGATATGATTTGATATAGGGAATAGGGTGCCATTTGGGATGCAGCCAGGGACCAAAATGGAAACCAATCCATATGGGTTTCCAACAACACAAACGTATAGGGTTAGTGTTTAGGTCAAAGATGGACCTTTTATACACGTTAGTACCCTGACATTTAACAGGCTTACGGCTCACAGCAGCATTACGGTCAATTAAGGAAGCCTTGTCCGAGCCAGAACAGCCTACAGGGCAGGCAGGATCTCCTGTTTCTGTAACGTGAGGCAGCTTGATGGACCCCTGGACACCCCCTGGACACCCCCTGGACAGGACGCTAGCGTCACAGTAAAAAGGGTTCATACATACATTCCATTGAAAAGTCACCCTTGGATTAACTGCCTACAATATGACAGTCAAAAGGATACATACATTATTCCGTTCCAAACTCACCCTCCTGCCTCCTGTGGCTGTGGTTGTGACTGTCCATCTCTCCCAGGCTGTTAATGGTACAGACAGAGAAACACTGCAGGTTGTAGCTCTGCAGAGATGCACTCCCTCCTGCACTCCTTCACGGCTACACAGCTAAACTCCTACACTCCTTCACGGCTACACAGCTAAACTCCTACACTCCTTCACAAATCCTCTCTAGCAGGGCTCTGGTGTCCAGCCTTCCACGATGACTACTGGATCTCTGGCTGCAGAACCCACTGATACTGTACTGTACAGTACCCCTCCCTCCCTTCTCTTATCTCTCTCTCTCCTCTCTCTCTCTCTCTCTCTCTCTCTCTCTCTCTCTCTCTCTCTCACTCGCATCTCTCTCATCGCGCAGCCGCTTGCTCTCCGCGCTCTACGTAGCTCGTTCCCTCTCATCGCTCGCCTCGCTCTCGCTCTCTCACTCTCCGTCTCCTCATCTCGGCATCTCTATCGTCACCCTCTCTCTCTCTCTACTCTCTCTATTCTCACTCTATGTCGTCCTCTCTCTATCTCTCGCTCTCTCTCTCTCCTCTCTCTCTCTCTCTCTCTATCACCCCTCCTTTCTCTCCCTCTATCTGTTTTTCTCTTTCCCTCACTTCTCTCCCTCTGTCCTCATTGATCCGTCTCAGCCCAATTCATATTAGGTGGTAGGAAATGCCCTATAGGTCAGGAGCCTGCTAAAATAAGAACCGTACTGTCACACACACCACACACACACACCCACACACACACACACACACACCACACCACACACACTACACACCACACAACCACACAAACCAACCACACACACACACACACACACACAAACACACACACCACCCCTTGTAGGCAGATATTTACGTCTTTCCCTTTTTTACTTGGCCTTAACTGTCAAATTGAAAGGTAGACTCAGCACTAAGGAACCTTTAGAAGAGTGTGTGAAAAGTAGTGCACTATTCCCTTTATAGTTAACCTTTTTTGACCAGGGCCCATAGGTCTCTAGTCAAAAGTAGTGCACTATATAGGGAATAGGGTGCCATTTGGGACACGTAGCGTATGAACTGAGAGGCTGCCGCATAATTCAGCATCAGCTGTCACGTTGCTGCAGGAGAGAGAAGAGAACGTGTCATATCGCTGAATCTCAGTTTAAATGAAACCCTACGTCATGTATTACCCAGTGAGTGAAAACAGTAGAAAACATGCATGTCTCTTCATGTCAATGTAACAGTGGATAGATAATGACTCAGCCAATGAACTCAGATTTGTCAACACACATTGTTCTGAATCAGAATGTTTGTTCATTTGTTTGAAGACAGTAAATATATATGCCACTGCCACTGAGTCTACAGTAAATATATATGGCACTGTCACTGAGTCTACAGTAAATATATACGGCACTGCCACTGAGTCTACAGTAAATATATATGGCACTGCCACTGAGTCTACAGTAAATATATATGGCACTGCCACTGAGTCTACAGTAAATATATATGGCACTGCCACTGAGTCTACAGTAAATATATATGGCACTGCCACTGAGTCTACAGTAAATATATATGGCACTGTCACTGAGTCTACAGTAAATATATATGGCACTGTCACTGAGTCTACAGTAAATATATATGGCACTGTCACTGAGTCTACAGTAAATATATATGGCACTGCCACTGAGTCTACAGTAAATATATATGGCACTGTCACTGAGTCTACAGTAAATATATATGGCACTGTCACTGAGTCTACAGTAAATATACTGTAAAACTCAATCATCAAGTTTGCAGACGACACAACAATAGTAGGCTTGATTACCAACAACGATGAGACATCCTACAGGGAGGAGGTGAGGGCTCTGGGAGTGTGGTGCCAGGAAAATAACCTCTCACTCAACATCAACAAAACAAAGGAGATGATCATGGACTTCAGGAAACAGCAGAGGGTGCACCCCCCTTTCCTCATCGACGGGACCGCAGTGGAGAAGGTGGAAAGTTCCTCGGCGTACATATCACTGACAAACTGAAATGGTCCACCCACGCAGACAGTGTGGCGCAACAGTGTCTCTTTAACCTCAGGAGGCTGAAGAAATGTGGCCTGTCACCTAAAACCCTCAAAAACTTTTACAGATGTACAATTGAGAGCATCCTGTTGGGCTGTATCACCGCCTGGTACGGAAACTGCACCGCTCACAACCGCAGGGCTCTCCAGAGGGTGGTGCGGTCTGAACAACGCATCACCGGGGGCAAACTACCTGCCCTCCAGGACACCTACAGCACCCGATGTCACAGGAAGGCCAAAAAGATAATCAAGGACAACTACCACCCGAGCCACTGCCTGTTCACCCCGCTATCATCCAGGAGGCGAGGTCAGTACAGGTGCATCAAAGCTGGGACCGAGAGACTGAAAAACAGCTTATATCTCAAGGCCATCAGACTGTTAAATAGCCATCACTAGCACAGAGAGGCTGCTGCCTACATACAGACTTGAAAATTACTGGCCACTTAAATAAATGGAACACTAGTCACTTTAATAATGCCACTTTAATGTTTACATATCTTGCATTACCCATCTCATATGTATATACTGTATTCTATACTATCTATTGCATCTTAGACTATGCCGCTCTGACAATGACATTGCTCATCCATATATTTATATATTCTTATTCCATTCCTTTACTTAGATTTGTGTGTATTAGGTTTTTGTTGTAGAACTGTTAGATATTACTTGCTAGATATTGCTGCACTGTCGGAACTAGAAGCACAAGCATTTCGCTACACTCACAATAACATCTGCTAACCATGTGTATGTGACCAATACATTTGATTTGATTTGATTTGGAAATATTTATGGCACTGCCACTGAGTCTACAGTAAATATATATGGCACTGCCACTGAGTCTACAGTAAATATATACGGCACTGCCACTGAGTCTACAGTAAATATATATGGCACTGCCACTGAGTCTACAGTAAATATATATGGCACTGCCACTGAGTCTACAGTAAATATATATGGCACTGCCACTGAGTCTACAGTAAATATATACGGCACTGCCACTGAGTCTACAGTAAATATATATGGCACTGCCACTGAGTCTACAGTAAATATATATGGCACTGCCACTGAGTCTACAGTAAATATATATGGCACTGCCACTGAGTCTACAGTAAATATATATGGCACTGCCACTGAGTCTACAGTAAATATATATGGCACTGCCACTGAGTCTACAGTAAATATATATGGCACTGCCACTGAGTCTACAGTAAATATATATGGCACTGCCACTGAGTCTACAGTAAATATATATGGCACTGCCACTGAGTCTACAGTAAATATATATGGCACTGTCACTGAGTCTACAGTAAATATATATGGCACTGCCACTGAGTCTACAGTAAATATATATGGCACTGCCACTGAGTCTACAGTAAATATATATGGCACTGCCACTGAGTCTACAGTAAATATATATGGCACTGTCACTGAGTCTACAGTAAATATATATGGCACTGCCACTGAGTCTACAGTAAATATATATGGCACTGCCACTGAGTCTACAGTAAATATATATGGCACTGTCACTGAGTCTACAGTAAATATGTATGGCACTGCCACTGAGTCTACAGTAAATATATATGGCACTGCCACTGAGTCTACAGTAAATATATATGGCACTGTCACTGAGTCTACAGTAAATATGTATGGCACTGCCACTGAGTCTACAGTATATATATATGGAACTGTCACTGAGTCTTACAACAAATGCATGAACATTCTGTATTCTGATTCATGTAGCGCTATCTCTTCGTCATGTGAGACTATTTATGTCCAAACTGATAAGCAGTCTCCTGCTGTGCAGAGATGAATGCCAGAGTGATGTACAGGGAGGGACATGACGTTCAAACAGGACTGCTGTTAATATTGGATATGACAACATGTCACAGGTGAATTCAGTCATGCAAACCAATCAAGCTGTTCCCAAAATGCTCCCTTTCCCTAACCCTGACCCTAACCCTCTGATTGCAGATATGTAGGGTCTGGACAGGTATAAGTAGTGTTTCCACAGAGCATCCACGATAGTGCCAGAGTGTGATTCAGTCAGAGGTCAATGTTATGTCAGGAGAGCGTTTGGTTCGCATGACTGAATTCACCTGTGACACATATGCATGTTGCCATATCAACCGATAAAACGATGGTAGAGTCAAACAAATAAATAGGGTAATGGAGAATGATGGCCTGATTATGTCTGGCTTATGAAATGTTATATGTAATTGTCCTACTTTAAAGCAAACATTAATTCGGCACACCTGATGTAAGCGTTTATCACTCTTCACGTACAGTAGTAGTAGTAGTATGATTTGATCACTCTTTATGTAGTATGATTTTATCACTCTTTATGTAGTATGATTTTATGACACTTTACATAGTAGTGGTATGGTTTGATCACCCTTTACGTAGTGTGACTTTGCTTACAAATCTATGTAGTACCCTTTAACCTCTAACCCCTAACACTAACCCCTGGTGCCTGACCGGCCGGACGATGATGACGTCAGCATATTAGCGGTAACCTTTAACCCCTAACTCTAACCTCTGACCCTGTCCTGGTGCCTGACCAGCCGGATGATGATGATGATGATGACGTCGTCATACTAGCGGTAACCTTTAACCCCTAACACTAACTCTAACCTCTGGTGCCTGACCGGCCGGACGATGATGACGTCAGCATATTAGCGGTAACCTTTAACCCCTAACTCTAACCTCTGACCCTGTCCTGGTGCCTGACCAGCCGGATGATGATGATGATGATGACGTCGTCATACTAGAGGTAACCTTTAACCCCTGACCTCTAATCACTAACTCTAACTCCTGACCTTTAACTAGGGATGCAAATTTCGGTCAATTTTGCTGCCGACTAATTTACCCTCATTAACCGGTTAACAAACGGTCACGTTTGTTCATTTTTAGAGCTTAATTGAAAAGGGCAACAGCGCAAGCCAATCGTCTCACAGCTGAAAGGCTACAGTGTTATTGAACATACAACCACTGTAAAGAAATAGCCCCTGTTAAACATAATTTCAGACATTTACCAAAATGCAATTCGTGGGAAAAAACTGTTCTAAACAGCACGCCTGATGCGAGCGGTTCCAAATGTGACAGAGATAAACATCTCTTGTTAGAATCTTAGAAAGAGGGGGAATGTAAAGATGCAGCAACTAGGATGGGGTTGCTAATACGATTATGATTGTGCCTTTGGCTTCTGGACAACGAAACAAAAAGTTGATTTGAAAACCAATAGAACAGGAGAGGAATGCTGTTTTCAATGCCAAATGAGGAAGTCTTTATAAAATAATTGCCTCCACGTTTCTATGGTTGGATTTTGGCTATAGGCTACTTTGAAGCAAGGTAAGACACGCCTCATAGTATGAAGTAAAACATCCAGGTTTCAAACAATGAAGTTTTATGTTTTCAAAAAAATGCATACTGCCTCCAATTGCAAGGTAAATGGATGAATATATGTTAATCAATATAAAGCTGGGCCATTAAAACGTTTTTATTTTTATTTTTTATTGTTGTACAATGACTGGGCTTATAAGAACATAGTCTCCCGAGTGGCGCAGTGGTCTAAGGCACTGCATCGCAGTGCTAGCTGTGCCACTAGAGATCCTGGTTCGAATCCAGGCTCTGTCGTAGCCGGCCGTGACCGGGAAACCCCATGGGGCGGCGCCCAATTGGTCCAGGGTAGGGGAGGGAATGGCCGGCAGGGGATGTAGCTCAGTTGATAGAACATGGCGTTTGCAACGCCAGGGTTGTGGGTTCGATTCCCACAGGGGGTATGAAAAATAATAATGTATGCACTAACTGTAAGTCGCTCTGGATAAGAGCGTCTACTAAAATGTAAATGTAGTGCTCAATCAATCAATGAAATGTATTTTATATAGCCTTTTTACATCAGCAGTTGTCATACAGATACCCAGCCTAAACTCCCAAAGAGCAAGTAATGCAAGCTTAGATCATTAAACTCCTCTAGAGGTCATTCAGTTGAACGGGGGGGGTCAATGCAAATAGTCCGGGTGGCCATTTTATTAATTGTTCAGCAGTCTTCTGTCTTGGGGGTCGAAGCGGTTAAGGAGCCTTTTGGACCTAGACTTGGCGCTCCGGTACCACTTGCCGTGCGGTAGCAGAGAGAACAGTCTATGACTTGGGTGACTGGAGTCTTTGACAATTTTTTGGGTCTTCCTGGATGACAGGAAGCTTGGTCCCAGTGATGTACTGGGCTGTACGCACTACCCTCTGTAGCGCCTTACGGTCAGATGCCGAGCAGTTGCCATACCAGGCGGTGATGCAACCAGTCAGGATGCTCTCAATGGTGCAGCTGTAGAACTTTTTGAGGATCTGGGGACCCATGACAAATCTTTTCAGTCTCCTGAGGGGGAATAGGCTTTGTCGTGCCCTTTTCACAACTTTCATTATTGTGTTTGGACCATGATAGTTTGTTGGTGATGTGGACACCAAGGAACTTGAAACTCTTGACCCGCTCCACTACAGCCCCGTCGATGTGAATGGGGGCGTGTTCGGCCCTCCTTTTCCTGTAGTCCACGATCATTTCCTTTGTCTAGCTCACATTGAGGGAGAGGTTGTTGTCCTGGCACCACACTGCCAGGTATCTGACCTCCTCCCTATAGGCTGTCTCATCATTGTCGGGGATCAGGCCTACCAACGTCGTGTTGTCAGCAAACTTAATGATGGTGTTGGAGTCATGCTTGGCCACGCAGTCGTGGGTGAACAGGGAGTATAGGAGGGGACTAAGCACGCACCCCTGAGGGGCCCCCGTGTTGAGGATGTGTTGTTGCCTACCCTCACCACCTGGGGTGGCCCGTCAGGAAGTCCAGGATCCAGTTGCAGAGGGAGGTGTTTAGTCCCAGGGTCCTTAGCTAAGTGATGAGCTATGGTGTTGAACACTGAGCTGTAGTCAATGAACAGCATTCTCACATAGGTGTTCCTTTTGTCCAGGTGGAAAAGGGCAGTGTGGAGTGCGATTAAGATTACGTCATCTGTGGATCTGTTGGGGCGGTATGCAAATTGGAGTGGGTCTAAGGTTTCCAGGATGATGGTGTCGATGTGAGCCATGACCAGCCTTCCACTTCATGGCTACTGATGTGAGTGCTACGGGGCGGTAGTCATTTAGGCAGGTTATCCAGACCAACAGAACAGGTCAGTGAACAGAACAGCAGACAGTTGTACATCAGGAGCGACAGATCAATAGCTCATTATGTACTGTAGCTGTAGCCCATTGCAAAGTCCCACAAAGCACCCTATTCCCTATATAGTGCACTACTTTTGACCAGGGTCCATTGACCTAAATGGCACCCAATGGGCCCTGATCAAAAGTAGTACACTTGATTGGGAATAGGGTGTCTTTTGGGATGCAGAGCTATGTTTGATCCTGTGAGAACAACAGGGTAATAAATGATAGGTCAATCTCTATTACCTCAACTATCTCAACTAGCCGGTGCCCCCGCACATTGACTCTGCACCAGTACCCCCCTGTATATATAGCCTCCCTACTGTTATTTTATTTGACTTCTGCTCTTTTTCTTCTCAACACTTTTTTGTTGTTGTTTTATTTTACTTTTTTATTAAAAAATAAATGCATTGTTGGTTAAGGGCTGTAAGTAAACATTTCACTGTAATGTCTACACCTGTTGTATTCGGCGCATGTGGCCAATACAATTTGATTTGATTTGATTTGATAGACAGACCTATCTGATCCTATCCACAATGTGGAGCAGTGCCTTTAGTGTTCTAAAAGTAGGTGAAATAGAAACAGATGTTTCCCTTTGTTTCCATAGAAATAGATGTTTCCATTTGTTTCCATTGAAATAGATATTTCCATTTGTTTCCATAGAAATAGATGTTTCCATTTGTTTCCATAGAAACAGATGTTTCCATTTCCGGTTGTCTACTGCCATGTAGCACTTGTCTTCTTTGATTCCAAACTTCATGGTCCATGTGAAGACGTCCACATCGTCTCAATAGTAACAACTTCTGCTACAGCTCTATTTCGCTTACATTTCAAACCTATTGCCTGGAGACATCTGACATCTCCCGATCCACCATTTGGTTAGAGATGAGATTAGTCTGCTGTATTATGGCGCTCAGTGGTCACGTGTCTCTATATACAGTTACACTAACGGCAGGCTGACCCATCATTCTGCCTGTACGGCTCAGTGGCTAATTTAAATCAAACAAAACAGCACCGCCGTCTGGTCGTAGTAGGTATTACACATAACGGAAATCGGTTTGTTGTCTTCCTGTTTCTAGATGTGTGTTGCGGTAGTAAGTTGATCGCATGCTATTGCTTCTGCTACTACACGGTCTATGGACAGTAACGTTTTAGCTACATTGTGTCATGTCATGATTATGGCCGCGGTAAAACACGGATAAATAAATCGATATGGTGTTACCAAAATAACCGGTTAGTGTTACAGTTCAAGGGCAACCAATTTACGCTGTACTACTGTATTACGCTGTAGTGCAACAACTTGAAATGATTGTCTGACATTCGCTCACATATTGAGTGAAAGCATGCTGAAAGCATTTCTAACAGTAGGCCTACGGTCTGCTTGGGTCGGTGTTTCAGTAGTGAAGTGAGTGGTGCAGTTTCCAAGTTAGCCGGGTTCTCCTCTCCACCATTCTCAACCGAGGCTTCACTCTATGTGCACGTGAGGATTGGTAGACTACTCAATGAGCATCTATCTCTCTTTCTGGTATCTATCCTTCTCTCAAAAGGCAATGAATGAATGAGAGCCGATTTCAACCAACACTTTGTCAGTCAAACTCAGTCAAACCCCTGACCCTATCCCTGACCCTAACCCCTATCCGCAACCTGAGACCACCTAACCCTGACCTGACCTAACCCTGATCCTTCCCTAACCCTGGGCCCTAACCCTGATCCTGTCCTAACCTGAAAAAGATTGCCCTAAAAGACCCCTATCCCCCCCCTGTCCCCAACCAAAAGGATTTTGTTTCCCCAAATTTTTTTTTAAAAAAAAATTTCCCCATAAACAAACCCCCCAAAAAGGGGGGGGGCGTTTTTTTTTTTTTCCCCCCATTTTTTCCGGTTTTTTTCCCAAAAAACCCCTTTTGGGGCCATGGTAACATGGGTTTTTTCTTTGAATTCCAAAAACTTTTCAATTTGGTCCAGTAAGGAAACTTTTAAAAATTTTGGGGGGGTTTAAAAGAAAATTTTTTAAATAGGGGTTTTTCCCATTCAAAAAACCAAATTTCCTAACTGATCCTTGTCCCAAAAAATTAAAAAAACCCAAACCCTCATTAAACCCAAAGAACAACGGAGGTACCCGGGCTTTGGGGTTTTTTTCCCAAAAAATTTAGGGGAAAAAAAGGGGGTTTCTTTTTTAACGGGGGGTTTATTAGGATAGGATTTTGCTATAAGGGGGCATTCCCTTTTCTGGTATTATTTCCCAAAAGGCAAAAGAATGAAGGTTTCCCAAAATTTTTTTTCATTTAAAAACCACCAAACCCCTGACCTATTCCCTACCCCCCCTGATCCTGTCCAAAAATGGGGAAACCCTGATTTTTCCAAAAACCCTCCCCTGCCAAAACCCCTAACCCGGGCCCTACCTAACCGTCCTCCCCCAATGCCCCTAACCCTGACCTCCCTCCCTTTTGACCCCCCCCTGACCCTGCCCAAAAAGACCCATCCCACCTGTCCCAAACCCTGACCCCCCCATCCGCCCAAACCCCTTGACCTTCCCTACCTGCCCAACCCTCGACCCTTCCCCTACCGACCCGATTTTTCCCAAAAACCCCTGACCTACCTACCCTGATCCGTCCCTAACCTAACCCTAACCTGATCCTGACCCCAACCCTGACCCTACCCTCCCTGTCCCTACCCCCCCTTTTCCTGTCCAACCCTGACCTGATCCGCCCTAACCCTGACCTTCCCTGCCCCTGCCCCTAACCCTGCCCCTAACCCGGCCTGACCCCCCTGTTCGTCCCTACGTTGAAGAGATTTTTCCTACTTAACCAAAAGAACCTGTTTTTACCCAGGACTAAGGTTGGATGTCTCCAAACCCGGACCACTGTCCCCCCTGCCCCTGTTTACGTCAAACAACCCTCCCCTGTCCTGCCTTTTGTTTGTGCCCAGGGGTTGAAAGGGCCTATTCCCTAACAGTACTTTTCCAGAGGTAGGTGAGTTTTAGGGGAAAAAGGGGCCTTTAACTACCGGTGTCCCCATCCGCAATTCAACCCGTAAGAGCTTAGCTTTTTTCCTTCTAAAAAAAAAGGGGGGGGGCAAGGAAAAAAGGGAAAAGGGAAAATTAGAAAGAAAGGGGGAGAAAAAAAAGGAGCAAAAAAGCAGGGAGGAGGAGAGAGAGGGGGGGGGAAAAAAAATTTTTAAAAAAACAAGGGGGAAAAAAAAACCCCCCAGCCCAAAAAAAACCCCCCCGGGGGCTCCCCCCCCCCGGGGGCCCCCCCCCCCTTTTTCCCTCCCCCTCCGTTTATCCCCCCAAAATTTTTTAACCCCCCCCTGGGTTTACTTACCCCCTTTTTTTTGTTTTCTAGGGGTTTTTTGGGGGGGGGGGGGGGGGGGAAAAAAGGGGACGGGCGGGGGGGGGGGGAAAGGGGGAAAAGGAAAGGGGGAAGAGGAGAGAAACAGGGAGAAAAAAAAGGGGGAGGAGAAGAGAGAGAAAAAAAAGGAAAAAAAGAAAAGTTTGGGAAAAACGAAAAAAAAAGGGTTTAATCAAAAAGGTTTGTAACCCGAAGCCACAATTTTGTTCCCTCTCTTCCTTCTCTCTCTATTATTACTATCTCCCCCCATTCCTCAAACTCCCCCCCTTCTTTTTCTCTCGTCTTCAGTATCACCTCTGTGTTTTTTGGAGGCGGGACTCCCAGCCTGGCCCGCCCCTCCACCATTGCTGCGGTCCTGGAGATGGTTGCCAGGCACGCTGGCCTATCAGAGGAGGCGGAGGTCACTCTGGAGGTCAACCCCACCCCCATAGGAAGCTCTAAGTTGGAGAACTTCCTCCATGCTGGCGTCAACCGTTTTTCCATCGGAGTGCAGGTGCGATTAAGGCCGGTATTCAATCAGTTGCACATAGTAGATTCCCTGAAAGCATTCTCAGAAGTGTTGAATTACATCCTGCTACTGTATATCATGGGAATGGTCAGGCGGAGGCTAGCAACCCTATCTCATAAAACCTTTTCTGCTACGGAAACTGAAAGAATAGAAAACATTGTTAATGGTGGAAAGAGGAGAAGGAGAGAGAAGGAGAAGAGAGGAGGAGGAGAACAAGAGTGTGATGCAGCCTTTAGAATGAAGCAACACAGTCAGTCACTGATCACTAGCTTTGTTCTGAACAGTCAGTTACTGATCACTAGCTTTGTTCTGAGAACCAAGTGTCCTTTTCATATGTGGAACTGGGGAGCTGAAGGAGAGCTTTGGGAAACGCTGTTCTAACATGTCTCTCATATGTCTGCTTCTTTTCAACCAACAGTCTCTCCGGGACGACAACCTGAAGGTTCTGGGGAGAGGCCATTACACTCAGCATGCTTTACAGACCGTAGCGGAGGCTCTGCCCGGGTAGGGTGTCGGTCGACGTCATGGTCAGAGGGTTGCATCCTGGGAGTTGGAATTGGATGAGCTGCTGTCGGTGTGTGACGACCACGTCTCCCTGTACCAGCTGACCCTGGAGAGAGGCATGTCTTTTCTTACAAACACTGATAGTTTTTTTTTGTGCGTGAGTATTTAGAAGTTTAATTGACATGTACAGATCAGAACATGAGATGGTGAGATGGAGGAGAGGATACATGAGAGGAAGTAGCAGGAACTATACCACTACATTTTACATTTTAGTCATTTAGCAGACGCTCTTATCCAGAGCGACTTACAGGAGCAATTAGGGTTAAGTGCCTTGCTCAAGGGCACATCGACAGATTTTTCACCTAGTCGGCTTGGGGATTAGAACCAGCGACCTTTCGGTTACTGGCACAACGCTCTTAACCACTAAGCTACCTGCCGCCCCAGCAGACTGAACCTGCAGATATTCTGAAGAAGGTTTTTACTTGCAGTGACTGTGATATGTGGTTGTTTTTACTTACCGTAGTTGAATTAGTAGCTGTTGTGATTGTAACAGCTAATAGGTATCCACATGAATATAAGCACTGACTGTAAGTCACTCTGGATAAGAGCTTCTGCTGCTAAATGACTCCAATGTAAACATGTCAACTGCAGGCACACAGCTCTTCAGCCAGGTTCAGAAAGGCCAACTGAGCGTGCCCAGTGATGACATCACAGCTGTCATGTATGAATCTGCCAGGAGGATTCTTCAGAATAGAGGCTATCTGCAGTATGAGGTGTCCAACTTTGCAAGAAATGTAAGTTCTACTCTCTCTCTCTGTGTGTGTGTGAGTCCTTGTGTCTGTCCTACTACTGTGCCATAGTAGAAATACCTTTAACAGAAAACCCTGCAGTAGAAAACCCTTTAGTACAAAACCCTGCAGTAGAAACCCCTTTAGTACAAAACCCCTGCAGTAGAAACCCCTTTAGTACAAACCCCTGCAGTAGAAACCCCTTTAGTACAAACCCCTGCAGTAGAAACCCCTTTAGTACAAACCCCTGCAGTAGAAACCCCTTTAGTACAAACCCCTGCAGTAGAAACCCCTTTAGTACAAACCCCTGCAGTAGAAACTCCCGAGTGGCGCAGTGCCAGCTGTGCCACTAGAGATCCTGGTTCAAATCCATGCTCGTGACCGGGAGACCCATGGTGTGGCGCACATTTGGCCCAGCGTCATCCAGGGAAGGGGAGGGAATGGCCAGCAGGGATGTAGAGCATGGTGTTTGCAACGCCAGGGTTGTGGGTTCGATTCCCACGGGGGGCCAGTATGAAAAATAATGTGTGCACTAACTGTAAGTCGCTCTGGATAAGAGTGTCTGCTAAATGAATAAATAAATAAATAAATAAAGAGAAACCCCTTTAGTACAAACCCCTGCAGTAGAAACCCCTTTAGTACAAACCCCTGCAGTAGAAACACCAGGCTATTCTCTGTGCTGTATTGGTTGTCATAACTATTGAATATTAATATTACCTGCTACAGTTGGGACACATCTGTAATATACCTTGTGTATTTTATGTTTGTTTTGAAGGGTGCCATCAGCCAACACAATATGAGCTACTGGAAGGCCAGTCAGTACCTTGGAGTGGGCCCTGGTGAGTTAATAGTGCTTTATGAATGCTTTATGAATGCTCTATAACATCTTTATGAATGCTCTATAACACCATTTTGAATGCTTTATGACACCTTTATGAATGCTCTATAAGACCTTTATGAATGCTCTATAACAACTTTATGAATGCTGTATAACCACCTTTATGAATGCTCTATAAAGCCTTTATAAGTGGTTGTTTATTTGAAGTGGGACTCTTCTGTCTGCCAGGAGCCCATGGTCGCTTCGTCCCCCATGGAGAGGGGGGTGTATGTCGAGAGGCCCGTACCCAGACTCTGGAGCCTGATGTCTGGGTGAGAGAGGTGCAGCAGAGGGGTCACGGGACTCGACGCAGGATACCCCTCACCCACTACTTTCCGCTTACAGGCTGGTTCACCCTGCAGCGCTTCACAATTCCGTGCTGCATCTTTAAAGGGATAATCCACTCCTGAATGAAACTCCTGTTTTGGTAATTAATCATGTTTCTATGAGTGGGGTTTAAAAATAAACTAGTTTCACCTTTGATTTGACTTCTAAGTGGTCCGTCTGGTACAATCAGAAAATGGTTTGTGCCACGTACATTTGACGATAAGGTTCTCGTCCCAGGGAGATAAGGACCAACAACACTATCCCGTTTCATATCGCTGTCAGAGTCCCATATTCAGCCCAATAGACGGGTATGAACATTACTGGGTTGACTGCGTGAGTCAGCTGATCTAATGTCCTGCTTCCGGACTGTTCACCTGCAGGAGTTCATCCGGTGCTGCACGTTTTAATGGTTACGTTCAATAATACTGTTCACCCTGCCCCCCCCCCCAGGTTTCATACGGTGCTGCACGTTATGGTCTACTTTCAATAATCTGGTTCACCTGCAGAGTTCATACGTTGGGCTGCACGTTTTAATGGTCTACTTCAATAATTTACTTTTCACCTGCAGAGTTCATACGGTGCTGCACGTTAATGGTCTACTTTCAATAATACTGTTCACCTGCAGAGTTCATACGGTGCTGCACGTTAATGGTCTACTTTCAATAATACTGTTCACCTGCAGAGTTCATACGGCGTGCACGTTAATGGCTCTACTTTCAATAATAGGTAACTGGGTTCATACGGTGCTGCACGTTAATGGTTCTAATTTCAATAATACTGTTCACCTGCAGAGTTCATACGGTGCTGCACGTTAAGGTCTACTTTCAATAATACTGTTCACATGCAGAGTCATACGGTTGCTGCACGTTAATGGTCTACTTTCAATAATACTGTTCACCTGCAGAGTTCATACGGTGCTGCACGTTAATGGTCTACTTTCAATAATACTGTTCACCTGCAGAGTTCATACGGTGCTGCACGTTAATGGTCTACTTTCAATAATACTGTTCACCTGCAGAGTTCATACGGTGCTGCACGTTAATGGTCTACTTTCAATAAGCATGCCGTCTTTAGCCAACTCTCTTGCTATCTCTCTCAGAATGACCTTCTTGATCCAAACCAGTCAGGTTTCAAGACTGGTCATTCAACTGAGACTGCTCTTCTCTGTGTCACGGAGGCTCTCCGCACTGCTAAAGCTAACTATCTCTCCTCTGCTCTTGTCCTTCTAGACCTGTCTGCTTCCTTTGATACTGTGAACCATCAGATCCTCCTCTCCACCCTCTCCGAGCTGGGCATCTCCGGCGCGGCTCACTCTTGGATTGCGTCCTACCTGACCGGTCGCTCCTACCAAGTGGCGTGGCGAGAAGCTGTCTCCGTACCACGTGCTCTCACCACTGGTGTACCCCAGGGCTCAGTTCTAGGCCCTCTCCTATTCTCCCTATACACCAAGTCACTTGGCTCTGTCATATCCTCACATGGCCTCTCCTATCATTGCTATGCAGACGACACACAACTAATCTTCTCCTTTCCCCCTTCTGATAACCAAGTGGCGAATCGCATCTCTGCATGTCTGGCAGACATATCAGTGTGGATGTCGGATCACCACCTCAAGCTGAACCTTGGCAAGACGGAGCTGCTCTTCCTCCCGGGGAAGGACTGCCCGTTCCATGATCTCGCCATCACGGTTGACAACTCTGTTGTGTCCTCCTCCCAAAGTGCGAAGAGCCTTGGCGTGACCCTGGACAACACCCTGTCGTTCTCCGCTAACATCAAGGCGGTGACCCGATCCTGTAGGTTCATGCTCTACAACATTCGGAGAGTACGACCCTGCCTTACACAGGAAGCGGCACAGGTCCTAATCCAGGCACTTGTCATCTCCCGTCTGGATTACTGCAACTCGCTGTTGGCTGGGCTCCCTGCCTGTGCCATTAAACCCCTACAACTCATCCAGAATGCTGCAGCCTGTCTGGTGTTCAACCTTCCCAAGTTCTCTCACGTCACCCCGCTCCTTCGCACACTCCACTGGCTTCCAGTTGAAGCTCGCATCTGCTACAAGACCATGGTGCTTGCCTACGGAGCTGTGAGGAGAACGGCACCTCCGTACCTTCAGGCTCTGATCAGTCCCTACACCCAAACGAGGGCATTGCGTTCATCCACCTCTGGCCTGCTGGCTCCCCTACCTCTGCGGAAGCATAGTTCCCGCTCAGCTCAGTCAAAACTGTTCGCTGCTCTGGCACCCCAATGGTGGAACAAGCTTCCTCACGACGCCAGGACAGCAGAGTCACTCACCACCTTCCGGAGACATTTGAAACCCCACCTCTTTAAGGAATACCTCGGATAGGATAAAGTAATCCTTCTACCCCCCCTTACCCCAACCAACCCCCCCCCTTGTAAAGTGGTTGTCCCACTGGCTATAAGGTGAATGCACCAATTTGTAAGTCGCTCTGGATAAGTGCTAAATGACGTAAATGTAAATGTAATAATACTGTTCACCTGCAGAGTTCATACGGCGCTGCACGTTAATAGCATACTTCCAACAATACTCCAGACTCACTCATAGCATGGGGTTCTATTCAGGGGTTGTATTTGTACATCAAGCGCTCACGCTACAGAAACAGGAAATCCTGCCCTATGGGCCATTCTGGCTTGGACAAGGCTTCCTTACTCACAGCATGGCATATATACTGTAGCAACTTTTTTAACTTTATTCTTCTGATTGCAGATTGGAGGAAGTGTTGGTATGGGACTGCATTTGATGACGGCACCCACTCACCAGGTAATCTTGGTTAACCCAGAAATTGACGGCATCACTCACCAGGTAATCTTGGTTAAGCCAGAACATTGACGGCATCACCACCAGGTAATCGGGGTTAACCAGAACATTGATGGCATCATCCCCAGGTAATCTTGGTTAACCCAGAACATTGACGGCATCACTCACCAGGTAATCTGGTAAACCCAGAACATTGATGGCATCACTCACCAGGTAATCTTGGTTAACCCAGAACATTGACGGCATCACTCACCAGGTAATCTTGGTTAACCAGAACATTGACGGCATCACTCACCAGGTAATCTTGGTTAATTTAAGCCAAAAACATTGAGGCATCACCCTCCAGGAAATCTTGGTTAACCCAGAACTTTGACGGCATCACTCACCAGGTAATCTGGTTAACCCAAGAACATTGACGGCATCACTCACCAGGTAATCTTGGTTAACCCAGAACATTGATGGCATCACTCACCAGGTAATCTTGGTTAACCCAGAACATTGACGGCATCACTCACCAGGTAATCTTGGTTAACCCAGAACATTGACGGCATCACTCACCAGGTAATCTTGGTTAAGCCAGAACATTGACGGCATCACCCTCCAGGTAATCTTGGTTAACCCAGAACATTGACGGCATCACTCACCAGGTAATCTTGGTTAACCCAGAACATTGACGGCATCACTCACCAGGTAATCTTGGTTAACCCAGAACATTGACGGCATCACTCACCAGGTAATCTTGGTTAACCCAGAACATTGACGGCATCACCCTCCAGGTAATCTTGGTTAACCCAGAACATTGACGGCATCACTCACCAGGTAATCTTGGTTAACCCAGAACATTGACGGCATCACTCACCAGGTAATCTTGGTTAACCCAGAACATTGATGGCATCACTCACCAGGTAATCTTGGTTAACCCAGAACATTGATGGCATCACTCACCAGGCAATCTTGGTTAACCCAGAACATTGACGGCATCACTCACCAGGTAATCTTGGTTAACCCAGAACATTGATGGCATCACTCACCAGGCAATCTTGGTTAACCCAGAACATTGACGGCATCACTCACCAGGTAATCTTGGTTAACCCAGAACATTGACAGCATCACTCACCAGGCAATCTTGGTTAACCCAGAACATTGATGGCATCACTCACCAGGTAATCTTGGTTAACCCAGAACATTGACGGCATCACTCACCAGGTAATCTTGGTTAACCCAGAACATTGACACATACTAAACAGTATATACACACAGTAGATGCTATAACAAGAGGATGTTTCAATTGTTTCTAGATTCATTGTTTGTGTCAATAGGGTCCATCATCAATGGATAAAAACATTTTCTAACCGTACGTTGTGTTCAGTATGTTGCACACCGCTGTTCTGATTCAACTTTCTTTCTGTCTACATCTGGGTTTATGTTTCTGATTCATGGTAATTCTGCGGCAGCATTGTCAGTTGTTCAGTCCCAGGGCAGATCTACACCAGATTCTCAGCTCATCTTCTGAAGTACAAGATCTTCAACAGACAGGCCTTCTAATCCTGGATGACAGGTAACCCATTACCTTCAACAGACAGGCCTTCTAATCCTGGATGACAGGTAACCCAGACCTTCAACAGACAGGCCTTCTAATCCTGGATGACAGGTAACCCAGACCTTCAACAGACAGGCCTTCTAATCCTGGATGACAGGTAACCCCGATCTTCAACAGACAAGCCTTCTAATCCTGGATGACAGGTAACCCAGACCTTCAACAGACAGGCCTTCTAATCCTGGATGACAGGTAACCCAGACCTTCAACAGACAGGCCTTCTAATCCTGGATGACAGGTAACCCAGACCTTCAACAGACAGGCCTTCTAATCCTGGATGACAGGTAACCCAGACCTTCAACAGACAGGCCTTCTAATCCTGGATGACAGGTAACCCAGACCTTCAACAGACAGGCCTTCTAATCCTGGATGACAGGTAACCCAGACCTTCAACAGACAAGCCTTCTAATCCTGGATGACAGGTAACCCATGGTAACCTGTTTGCCCTGTTCTGTCATATATATACTGTATTATATTATTAATGGAGCTCAGAAAAGTCTCTCTTCAGTTTATTGGGAAGTATACAATAGTTGGTCCCACTTTAAACAAACTACAATTCATAAAGCCTTTATAGAGCATTCACAAAGAGTTTGAGGGCTTCATTAAGAATGATAACTTGTGGTTTGTTTAAAGTGGGACCCAGTAGTTGTATCTCCATGTCTGTTTGAGTCTTTAAGTAACACAGGGTTCCCCCCCCCCCCCCCCACTACACAGCTGATTCAAATAACCAACTCATCATCAAACTTTGATTATTTGAATCAGCTGTGTAGTGCTAGGGCACAAACCAAAACGTGCACCCCTTGAAGTCCCCAGGACAGAGTTTGGGAAACACTGACAACCCCTTTTGTCTTCTGTGTAGGGGTCTGCGGTGCTCGGTGCTCAGGGTCTGGCCTTAATGGACAGCATGTTACCCACCCTGCTACTGGAGCTGGGGACCCACATCACCCAGGGGCTCCAGCAGCAGGCCAGGGTGTCTGGGGACCCACATCACCCAGGGGCTCCAGCAGCAGGCCAGGGTGTCCAGCAGCAGGCCAGGGTGTCTGGAGACCCACATCACCCAGGGGCTCCAGCAGCAGGCCAGGGTGTCCAGCAGCAGGCCAGGGTGTCTGGGGACCCACATCACCCAGGGGCTCCAGCAGCAGGCCAGGGTGTCTGGAGACCCACATCACCCAGGGGCTCCAGCAGCAGGCCAGGGTGTCTGGAGACCCACATCACCCAGGGGCTCCAGCAGCAGGCCAGGGTGTCTGGGGACCCACATCACCCAGGGGCTCCAGCAGCAGGCCAGGGTGTCCAGCAGCAGGCCAGGGTGTCTGGAGACCCACATCACCCAGGGGCTCCAGCAGCAGGCCAGGGTGTCCAGCGTGGGAGACCAGAGAGGTGGAGGACGGAGGGTCTCCAAGCCTGGCTGACAGAGAGGGGAGAGAGAGAGATCCTGGAGAGTTACCTGGAAGCCACTATGAACTGTAGACGCTGGCCAAATCTACCATCTACACTGATGAAGTAGATTAGCTGCAGTAAGATGAGAATAAACTGCAGTTGGCACTAAACTGTAGTCACCGTGTTCTGATCAGTGACAGGTTAGATCTTCCTGATAGGCTGATAAAGCTCTACGTGAGATGTTTACAGTTGAACAGGATGCTGTCGGGACTCAGGAAAGGTCCTCCGCCTTGTCATGTTGCTCTCTATGAACACATCATTCTATACCCCTTAAGTGTAGTAAACAGAGGTAATCACACACACACACACACCCTACAAGCAGTTACCAAAAGCAGTAGTTAAATAGGTTGTTTATGAAGGTTAGCGTGCCACGGACTCCAGTTCCTCCACGCTTATCTAGTCATCTGTCATCAGAGCTGTAATGAACCACTGTTATTGTCAAGGTCCCTCTGATGGAGCTCTGCCTCCCCATCATAGCGTGAGAAGATGTAGCGTGAGAGGGGGCTGGATCACCTGGCAGAGAGTGTGTGTGTGTGTGTGTGTGTGACGTGGGGGAGAGTGACGTGGTCATGGTCCCTGTATCTGGCCCAGGTGCAGAGCAGACCAGATCCCCAGATTAGATAGACAGGTTTAAACCTTCTGTTGTCCATCAGCTGTGATGAAAGGCTTGGTCTAACACAGGGGTGTCAAACTCATTTTAGCTCAGGGGCCACATGGAGGAAAATCTATTCCCAAGTGGGCCGGACCGGTAAAATCATGGTATATATAACTTAAAAACAACAACTTCAGATTGTTTTCTTTGTTTTAATACGATCAACATAAAACATAAAACTGGAGCCTGAGGACAGTGTGTCCAAAATAGTACAAGCACAACATCACTATTAATCATAAAACACCTCAAGTTTATTTGAAAATTCTAAAGAAAAAGAACACACAAACACACAATGCCTCAGTGATTCACAGAACTGTTTCACAGATCACAGAACTATATCAGGGTGTCATTTCTCAGGCAGAAATGTAGATGCAAATAATGAAATCCTGTTCCCCAAACAAGTGCAAGAACCACAGAGTCAAGAATAGGTTAAATATACAAATAAAATAAAATCAATTAAAAACAATAGCACATCAACATAAAAACATATAAACATAAAGCTGGAGCCTGAGGACAGTGTGTCCAAAAGCACAACATCACTATTAATCATAAAACACCTCAAGTTATTTGAAATTTTGAGCACAAACACACAATGCCTCAGTGATTCACAGAAGTATATCACAGATCACAGAACTATATCAGGGTGTCTCATGCAGCACTTTAAGTGGGGTTGCATAGTTTATTTGACTCCTGAAACCTGGCATCTTTTAGCTTTCACCAGCGCATCAATATCAGGCGTCACATCCTGAGTGGCAGCCAACTTCAGGATGTGATTCAAGTGCTTGTGCGTGAGCCTTGAGCGCAGCTTTGTTTTATTTATGCTCATTACAGAGAACTTGCTCACAAAGATATGTGGTTCCAAACATGCACAACAGTTTTGCAGCGAGGGCTGTCAAGTTGGGGTAACCTGGCAAGAGATTCTGATAAAATGTGTCCAAGCCAGCTGCGGCAAATTTGCCCTTCAAATCCGAGTCACACTGCAAGTCTATTATTTCAAGTTGGATGCTGACGGGCAGATCAGAGGGATTCACGGTGAATGGCGAACAAAAAACTTTGAAGTCTTTCTCCAGTTCACCAAAAATCTGAAAGCGTTGCTCAAACTCCCTTAACAGTCCCGTTATTTTATCTTTGAACCGCTTCATGTCTGCCACATGTTGGGTCGCGCACACATTTTTCAGACAGGGGAAGTGAGCTGCATCACCACCGGCGAGTTGCGTCTCCCACAATGACAGCTTCAACTTGAAAGAACGTATGCTGTCATAATACTGCGTGGCAACTTTGTTGCGCCCTTGCAGCTGTTTGTTCAAGTTATTCAGGTGCTCTGTAACATCCACCATAAATGCAAGGTCCTGCATCCATTCTGCGGAATGAAATTCTAACACTGGTTTGCCCTTTTCTTCCATGAACTGTTCAATTTCTTCTCGTAAATCAAAGAAACGCCTCAGCACAGCACCTCGGCTTAACCATCTTACCTCAGTGTGGTATGGCAGGCCATAGATGTGGTCTTTCTCTCTGAGAAGGCTGTCAAACTGACGGTGATTCAGGCTTCTGGATCGGATGAAATTAACAGTTTGGATGACCACCTTCATGACGTTATCCATCTTTAATGACTTGCAACACAAAGCCTCCTGGTGCAAAATACAGTGAAAAGTCAAAAAATCACGTCCTCCATTTGCAGATTGCACTTTCTCTCTGAACTTTGTCACAACGCCTGCTTTTTTCCCGATCATTGAGGGCGCACCATCTGTAGCCAGGCTGACAGCGCGGGACCAGTCCACTCCGACCCTGTCCAGCGCGCCGACGAGTGCAGTGAAAATATCAGCTGCTGTCGTTGTATCTGTCATCGGCACCAACTCCACGAACTCCTCGGTGACGGTCAATGTGTCATCAACTCCGCGGATGAAAATGGCCAGTTGTGCAACATCTGTAATGTCCGTGCTTTCATCAATTGCAACCGAAAATGCAATAAATGACTTTACTTTTTGCTTGAACTGGATGTCCAAATCCACTGAAAGATCGGAAATCCTGTCTGCAACTGTGTTTCTTGTCAGGCTGATATTTGCAAAAGCCTGGTGCTTTTCAGGGCACACAATCTCTGCTGCCTTCATCATGCATGTTTTTACAAATTCACCCTCACTAAATGGTTTTGAAGCCACTGCGATTTCATTAGCAATGAGGTAGCTAGCTTTCACTGCAGCGTCACTGATGTCTCGGCTGTGAGTAAACACAGACTGCTGTTTCTTCAGACCCACCAACAGTTCATTCACCTTCTCTCTTCTCCGCTGTCCTTGAAAGTTGTCATATTTGTCGGCATGAAGACTCACATAGTGGCGACGAAGGTTATATTCTTTCAGCACTGCAACATGCTGTGAACGCACCAAACATACAGCTTTCCCATTCAATTCCGTGAATAAATAGAAGGATGACAATTTTTCTTGGAACACTCTGCACTCTGCGTCCACTTTTCTCTTTTTTGACAGAGACATATTGGGGCAATGAGGGTGCCAAAGCACATAATGTTAAAAGTAGAAGCCGTAATAAATATCGCGGGCAAAACAAAGTAGCTCATCCGGACTGGCTGCACTTGCTTGACCTATTTGCTCTGCCCCGGTATTAACAGTTTGCTTGCTTAACACAATTGCTATTGCGCCATCCAGTGGACACAGTTGGAACAGCAGTTTATTTTATTGAAAAATTGCAGCTCATTTTTATACTTTACAAAATCATCTCGCGGGCCGGATTAAACCCGTTTGCGGGCCTGATCCGGCCCGCGGGCTGGACGTTTGACACCCCTGGTCTAACAGGTACACAACATGTCATCCACCAAGAGGAATCTGGAGCGTATTGTTGAAGCCTGGAGACAGCACCAC